GAGGCTGGCAGATGGGACTAATGGCTGTGAAGGCAGAGTGGAGTTAAAAGTCAAAGGACAATGGGGTACTGTGTGTGATGATAGTTGGGGCAATATGGAAGCTTCCATAGTGTGTAGACAGTTAGGGTGTGGATCAGTTCTTCATTCCCTTGGGGATGCTAAGAATGGATCTGGCCCCATTTGGCTTGATGAAGTTTCCTGTCTTGGTAATGAATCAGCTCTCTGGAACTGCCAGCACAGTGGATGGGGACAGCATAATTGTAATCACGAAGAGGATGTATCCATCCTCTGCTCAAGTAAGTCTTGGCCCCCAAATAGAAATTCTCTTATGCATGCCATTCTGCCTCCAAACAGAAATCTCCTGCCTCTGACAGGCGTGATATCTACCCTTGAAGTATTCTCACTTCCTTTTTTAAGTGTTTTAAGTGTTTAAGGAAAACTGACCTCATTATCTTGCCCCAAGCCCACCACAAAACTGCCCCTCCTCCAACATTCTGCATTTCAGGCCTGAACCCTGGGACTTTTATTCCTCCTCACTGTCTACATTCATTTCATTGCCATATCCTATGGCTCCTACCTCCACAATTTATGCAACTATGCAACATCTCTAATTACATGACAACCTCCTCCCCCCCTCCCCTGTCAGTTTAGAGTGACAACATTTCAAAGACAGAAGGCTTTTTTTGTAGCTATCTAGTCCAACTCATATTTGATGAAGAATCCCCCTTCAACATACCCAACAAGTGGTCATCCAGGTTCTACCTGGTGACCTCCAGTAACATAGCCTGTTCCACTTTTGTATTGCTCTCATTCAACAACAGACATTTGTTATGTGCCTACAATTTGCCAGTCTCTGTCTCTGAGAAAGGCAAAAGACAATCCCTGCTCTCCAGCAGCTTGAAGTCTAATGGGGGAGACAACATGCAAGCAACTATATACAAACACTATATAGACCAAAGAGATAGGAGATAATCTCAGAGGGAAAGTGTGCTTATAAGAGAGGAGAAAAAAACAGGCTTTTATCTTTGATTATGGAGTCAGTAGAAAGCCACTGGATTTCATTAAATAGGAGGGTGGCATGGCCAGACCCATGATTTAGGAGGATCAATTTGACAGTTGAGTGGAGGATGAACTGGAGTGGGGAGAGACTTAAGGCAGGAAGACCAATCAGCAGGCTGTGGTAGTAGAACAGGTATGAGGTGATGAATGCCAGCACCAAGGCAGTGGCAGTATCAGAGGAGAGAATGGACATACACAAAAGATACCATGAAGGTAGGATCAACAAGAATTGACGACTAATTGGATATGAAGGGGGACAGAGAGAGAGGAGTTGAGGATGATATCTAAGGTGTGAGCCTGCGTGGATAGTGGAACCCTCCACACTAATACAGAAGTTAGCGAGAGGGGAAGGTTGGGGGGGCAGAGATACTGAGTTCAGTTATGAACCTGTTGAATTGAAGATGCTTATGGGATATCCAGTTCAAGTCGTCTAAGAGGCTGTAATAGATGTAAGACTTGAAGTCATAGGAGAGTGGTTAGGGCTGGAAAAGAAAATCTGAGAGTCATCTGCAAAGAGTTGATCATTGAAATCAATTGATGAGATCACCAAGTGAAATAGTACAGAAAAAGAAGAAACACAGGACAGAGGCTTAGGGGATCCTCATGATTAGTGGGTATAACCTGAATTAAGATCTAGCTAGGGAGACTGAGGAGCAGTCAGAGAGGTAGGAAGAAAACTAGGAAAGCAAAGTCTTGGAAACATAGAGAGAAGAGAGTGTCCAGAAGAGAATGATCAACAGTATCTGAGGCTGAAGAGAAATCAAAGAATACGAGAGTAGAGAGAAGGCTATTTAGCTTTAGAAATTAACTTTGGAGAAAGCAGTTTGGGTTGAATGATGAAACTGGAAGCCAGACTACCACAAGTCTCTCCCCAATCCATTCCATCCACTGATCAACTGTCAAAATTGTCTTCCTAAAGCACAGGTCCAACAGGGTCACTTCCCTATTCAATAAACTTCAGTTGTTCCCTATCACCTCCAGGATAAAATATAAAATCCTCTTTTTGATGTTCAAAGCCCTTTATAACCTGCCTTCCTTTTTCCAATCTTCTTGCACCTTCAGGGGTGGGGATCCTGCAACCTCAAGGCCACATGTGGCCTTCCAGGTCCTTGGGGACAGCCTTTTGACTGAGTCCAAGTTTTACAGAACAAATCCTTTTATTAAGGGGAGAACTAAGGCATACATCTTCCCCATACTCTGCAATTCAGTAACACTAGTCTCCTCACTGTTCCGTGAATAAGACACTTTATTTCTCAGTTCCAGCTATTTTAACAAATATGGTTTCTCCATAAACCAGGAAGAGCAAATTAGGGTTAGGGTAGGAGAGAAAGAAAACTACAGATCAATTTTTAGGGTTTTTCTAATGAATATTAGTGCAAAGATTTTAATAAAATACTGGCAAGAAGACTTCACAAAGATCATACAATATTACCAGGTAGGATTTATATCAGGAATGTGGGGCTGGTTCAATATTGGGAAAACTATACACAGAAATTGATTATAACAATGACAAAAACAGCAAAAAAATCATATGATTATAATGATTGATGCAGAAAAAGCTTTTGACAAAATACAAAACCCATTCCTATTAAAATCACTAGACAACATAGAAATAGATGGAACTTTCTCAAAATGATAAGTAGCATCTATGTAAAACCAAGAACAAACATTATCTATAATGTGGATAAACTAGAAGCGTTCTCAGTAAGGTCATGGGGGGAGCAAAGATGTCCATTATCACCATTATTATTCAATATTGTATGAGGAATGCTAGCAATAGCAGTAAGAGAAGAAAAATAAATTGAATTAATTAGAATAGGCAATGAGGAAACAAAACTATCCTTCTTTGCCAATGATATGATGGTATACTTAGAAAACTCAAGAGAATCAACTAAAAAACAAATCAAAACAATTAACTTTAGCAAAGTTGTAGGACGCAAAATAAACACATATAAACCACCATCATGTCTGTATATTATCAACAACAACCAGAAGGAAGAAATAGAAAAAGAAATTCCATTTAAAATAACTAGAAAACTTTTCATGCAAATAAGGATAGAGCTAAAGAAGAGGAGCTCATGGGTTGACCAAGACCACAATAAAATTGACAATACTACCTAAATTAATTTCTTCAATGCCGTACCAATCACACTACCGAAGAATTAGCACAGTGTCTGGCACATAGTAGACACTAGATAAGTGTTTATTGAATTATTTTATAAAGCTAAAAATAATAAAACTTTTGTGGAAGAATAAAAGCTCAAGACAATCAATGAACAGACAATGTGGAGGAAGGTGGCCTACCTACAGCAGATCTCAAACTGTATTATAAAGTGGCAATCATCGAAACAATCTGGTATTGGCTAAGAAATAGAGTAGTCGATCAGTAGAATAAACTAGCTACACAAAATGCAGGCATAAATGAGCATAGTAATCTAGTGTTTGACACACCCAAAAGAACCAAGATTTGGAGCCAAGGACTCAGTATTTGACAAAAACTGCTGGAAAATTGTAAAGGAATCTGGCAGAAAGTAGCCATAGACCAACATCTCACATGTATGTATAGCAAGATGTGGTAAAACGTGGGTGTGGATTTAAACACAAAGGGTGATATTATTAACAAATTTGGGGAACGTGAATATTCAGATTTAGGTTTCTGCTCCAATTTAAAGTATGTATATTTCCAGCTAATTCCTGAATTCTTCCATTCTCACTTTCCCCCATGAACTGAGTATACAGACAGGTCTTACAGTACAGTAAGATTACATTTCTCTGATGTACTACAACTCATTTAGCTCCCACCTGATAATCATTCATCACTTTCTGGGCTTCTCTCACTGCAAAATACTACAAAATGTGCTGCCATAAATATTTTAGTTTTTATGAAAGCCTTTTTTGTTTTTGTCATTGACCTCCTTTATATGCTGAACTGTGGACTCTTTTGAGTCAAAGGATATGGGCATGGTAGTCACTTTCTTTGTGTAATTCTGTGTTGTTTTCCAGACTGGTTAGACCAATTCACAGATCTTCCAGTAGTCCATTACTGTTTCCACAGCCCCTCCAACATGGATGAATCATATTTTTTGACATTTTTGCCAGTGTTCTGGGTGTGCAGTAAAATCTCAGAGTTGTTGACTGAGTTTCTCTTATAATTAGTGGTTTGGAATATTCTTTCATATTTGTAATTCTTCTTTTGAGGATTGTTTTTCTATGTTCCTTCTCCATTTATTGGCTATATATGAATATATGTAGGTATCCATATGTATATATATGTGTGTGTGTGTGTATCTATATATGTATGCATATATATGTTAATTCCCTTTATCTATTGGCCATCAGACCTTAGTCAAAGAGATGAGATACAAAAAAAAATTCCTCAAATTAATATTTTACTTCTAATTAGCACTGTATTGATTGTGTTCATGGAAAAGCTTAATTTCACATAATTGAATCCATGTACTGTCTTTCATAATCTCCTCTATCTCTTTTTTCACTAAGAATTCTACCCCTAGCTAAAGCTATAAAAGGTAATTTCTTCCTTTTTGTTCTAATTTTTATCACTTCAAACTACAAGTGCATCCCAACCCCTCACATTACCTTGTACATATTTATATGTGTACATGTCTTTTATTGATGTACTGTCATTTTCTTGAGGGAAATGACTCCTTATTTTATTTGTAAGCCCAGAGACGAGTATAGTTCCTTTAACGTTGGAAGAACCTATTCAATGTTTATTAATTGATTGACTAGGCTATGTATACATTTGAAACTTATGCTATATGCTGATCTCTATCTACCTACCTATCTATCTATCTGTCTGTCTGTCTGTCTGTCTATCTCTCTTTCTATCTGTCTGTCTGTTTTAAACTCTTCCTATTTTCCCATCCGTTCTTGTCAAGTATTTTACATATTTGTTTATTGGCCTACTGAATTCACTTGTTTCTGATCAAGGCACATTTTTCTATACCAGGATTCTGTTAATACTGGGCTTCTTTACCAGGGTGCAGGAACTTGGTGATATAAATATTTTGATAACCATTTAAGATAATGGGCTTCTTTTGTGATACTATTATTTTATTTTATGCATTTAAAACATGATTCTGAAAAGGGTCCCATTGCCTTCAGTAGACTGATGGCCAGGGGCCTATGACACAAACATGGTTAGAAACTTTTGCTTTATCGAAACACAAATTTCCAGATAATAGATTTGTGGCACTTAAAATGAAATGCAGTCTGGAACAAGGAGATTGATTCATGGGAGAAAGTTAGTCAGAACAGAAGTATGATATTCAGAGACTCCAGGACAACTCTCTTTGACCTTTGACCTTACTCATGTGATGATGTGGCCTCCCACTATACTTGGGTGAAAGACTACTCCTTTTCTGAAAAACCATAAACCAACGAGTCAAAGCCTAATTCACTTTGCCTCTCTCATGCTTCTCACCTGGTCCTTCTCTTCATCTTAGGTCCTTTTCCTCAATAGAACTGGTCCATTCACTTCTGCCTCCAAACTTTCCCCATCATTGACATGTTTGTGCATCTCTGTTGCAGAGGGAGCAGATCTGGCCCTGAGACTGGGGAGTGGAACAAGCACCTGTTCAGGGCGAGTGGAGATGAGAGTAAATAACCAGTGGGGGACAGTCTGTGATGACAACTGGAACAAGAATGCTGGGGCTGTGGTGTGCAGACAAGCAGGGTGTCCCTCTGCTATGAATGCCTTGCTTAGGGTTAATGCTAGTGATGACATTGAACACATCTGGTTTGATGACATTTCCTGCAATGGGAACGAGTCAGCTCTCTGGGACTGCAAACATAGAGGATGGAAAAACCATGACTGCGGACACAATGAGGATGTTGGAGTGATGTGTTCAGGTAAGGCCCCAGTTCAGGGGCACCTCCTAGAAGGAAGGTGAGCTGTTTGGGGGAAAAACCATTGGGAGATGATTTGTTCCTTCTTAGCAAGTGTTTACTCTGTGCAAGGCACTGTATTAAACACTTTACAAATATGATCTTATTCCATCCTCACAACTGCCTTGGGAGGTTGTTTTTTTTTTTTAAACTTGATTTAATTAAAGCATAAAGAGATTCAGTGACTTGCTCAGGGTCCCACAGATAGCAAATTTCTGAGGCTGGATTTGAATTCAGGTCTTCCTGAGTCAAGACCCAGTGTTCTGTCCACTGTGTCACTTACCTGCCCCAAGGTTGTGGACTCAAGATATCAAAAGAAACACATAATTCATGAGCTGAGACAAAGGGTTAGAGTATAAAGATATGATTGAGATGTCTTTAAATATCAAAATGGACATCACAGTATCCATATCAATAACTTAACAAATATTAAGCAGCTATTTTGTGCAAGACATTATGGTAGGTGCCTGGGATAATTCCACCATAGAGATGGTCCCTCCATCAGGGCAGTTACCAATCCATTCACACCTTTCCATCCTGTGTGATTCCTGTCCAAGGCCTTGTACACATTCTTGTTAAATCAGCACTCTATGTAGACCTTCCTCTAAACCACCTCACCTTCTGGGGGTACATCATGGAGTCTGTCCATCTGCTAATCCCTTGCTCTTTCTATATGGCAATGGGCTGCATGAGGTACCAGGGTTGCTAAGATGAAAACGAAAGAGTCCTGACCCTGAGAAACTTATATTTGGCTGACAGAAAATGTGTACATGTTTATGTAGGTACAAAATCATTTAGGGGAGCAGCAGTGGCATCCAAAGAGACAAGGAGAGGCCATGTGGAAGAGATAGTGCTTGAGGGTGAGAAGAAAGTGCATTGAGGTCATGGAGGACAATTTGTACAAAGGCATGGACACAGGAGATGAGGAACTCTTACAACCCTCTGTGGGATCATTGCCCACTTAAACATTCTGCCTTTTACTCTGCACATATATCTTGGTCTAGAGACCCTATTTAAGCCACTACTACCACCCCATAGAGGGTGAGTCCCTCGGCTCTCGGAATTTTTGATTGGTGTATAGCTCTCTTCATGCACACTGTCAAATCCTAAAGTCTCAGAACTGACAGGGAGAGAGGAGATAAGTAACTATGACTACTTGGGGTCATTTAGAGACTGTTAACATCTATCTTTATCCATAAATTCTTCAGTAAAACTTGTACCTGCAAACCAATGGTGAGCTGGAAGCCAGGATCAGGACAATTTCACGTCACTGATTTCTGAAACCTCTCCTTGGACGATTGCCTTTAAAATCGTGCTTTGTTTTTCTGAGTTAAATAAGATGTGAGTGACACAAAGACAAAAATGAAGCAGTCATATCAAGGAAATGAGAGAAGGAAGGAAGAGAAGAAAGAAGGGAACAAAGGAAGGATGGACAGATTGTAGGAAGAAAGGAAAGAAGGAAGAAACAAGCATTTATTAAATTGCCAGGCATGGTGCTAAGTGCTTAAGATATAATTACAAGAAAAAAGAAAGAGAGCCCTGCCCTCAGGAAGCTTCCATTCTAATGGGGGGAAAAAACAACATACAAAAGGAAAGTAAAAAAAAAAAAAAGGAAGAGAGAGATAAATGTATCCATTGCAGGAACATGATTTTGAAATCCAGAAAGTCAGGAAAAAGGCCAGGAGGGGAAAGAATGCAGGCAAGCCTGGGGTCCTTCACAAAACAGAAGCTCCAGGTGGAGCTCACCAATGGGAGACAAGGGGTGGACCTTGCAGAGAGAGATTCCAGAGTGACCACGCCAAAGGGAACAGTAGGATATTCCAGGGCAAGGAGGTCCTGGGTACCAAAGGAAGTTCCAGACTGAGACAGCAGTAGAGACATAAAGTACAGTCAATTAATTTTTCAATACAGTATATCATATGCACAGCATTGCAACGTTAATTCTAGTTGTGGTCTATTTTGATGATGTTTACCAACTTCTGCTCTGGAAAGTAACAGGAAATTTATTCCTCCTTCTTTTCAGGCTGAGTGATGTGGCATCTATAAATCTAGCAAACACTCATAAAATAATGCCCTTGGTAAATGGACTGTTTGCTTCCCTAGAACTGGGGTTAGAGTGAAACACAAACATGTTTTGTCTGCTCCTATGTCTATTAAAGAACTTCAATGTAGTTCCTTTAAACCTAGACAAATTTAACCAAGAGATAAAAAAGAAAAGTTCTGGATCTTAATAAACTATGAAATTGAGAGAGGAGATATCTATTGTGATTACTGAATGGCAATAGAAATGAATGTAAATACACTCAACTGTACATGACATTGCTACCAAAAATGACCATGTATGGGAGAGGAGATATACTAAGGATATATATTACTAATCACAATGAAATAAAAAAAAATATTCACAATGAATGACTTTCAAAGAAAGCATTTAAAATAGCTGAAGACTAAATAATTCTAAAAATCTGGTGGGACAAAGAACATAATACAGAAACAATAGAAAACTGCATTAAAGAAAATGGCAATGATGAAACAATCGTGTGATGAGACAACTGTGGTGTGAGGCTAAATCCTTAGGAGAAAATTTAAATATCTCAATGTTTTTATCTTCCTCTCAAAAGAGAGGAAGAACAAATCAATGAACTGGACGTGCACTTTTTTAAAAAATGAGAAAACAAATCCAGAATTAAACAAATTCTCCAATTAAAAATTTTAGAAATCCTGAAAACCAGAAAAGAGTTAATAAAATTAAAAAAACCACTTTAAGTTTATAAATAAAAGTGAGGTTCTTTTAAAAAAAACCTTTAAAATAAATAAATAGTTAGGTAATCTGATTTTTAAAAGAGGTAAAAGTCAAATTGTTTATACAAAAATAAAAAGATGAATTCATCATAATTGAAGAAAAAATAAAAGAAATTATGAAAAATTATTTCCCTACTATATGCTAACAAAACTAATAACTCAGAGGAAAATGATGAATGTTTAACAAAAATATAAAGTGTACAGATTGAGAACAGATGAAATAGATTTTTTAAGTAATTCAATATTATAAAAAGATATTGAATAAATATTTTCATTCCCATTCATCAGCAGAAACCTCTCCCTCAAAAGTTATATGAGATCTACTAAGCCCTCAAGTGATAGAAGCCAGTATGCCAACCATGACAATAAGGAGTTCTCAATATCACCTGATCATTTCCTCCAAAAATAGTTCTGTACCCCAAGTTGTTGGAAGAGTGTGGTGTTTCTGATGCCTCACTGTGATGGAGGAGCAGTAGACATGGCCAACAGACCAGGTGAGGTCCCCAGGGTCAGGGTGGCAGGGTTTTGCATATTCTGCAGGGACTGGCTCCCTCATGGTCAAGGCATGTCTCATGGCTAGCCAATGACTGAAATTCCGGTCTCTTTTACAGACCCATCTGCCCTGAAGCTGAGGCTTCTTGGGGGAAGCAGCCAATGTGCAGGGGTAGTAGAGGTGAGAGTCGGTGAGGAGGTGGGAGTTGTGTGCAGAAGAAGTTGGTCACTGGATGAAGCCACGGTGGTTTGCAGGCAGCTGGGCTGTGGAGTTGCAGTCAGCATCCCCTTGGACTACAATTTTGAAGACGTCCCTGAGCACATCTGGATCAGTGGAATCAAATGCTATGGAAAAGAGGAATCTTTTTGGGATTGTGGGAATTGGGAATGGGGAAAGATTTCCTGTCATGCGGATGAAAAGGCTGCTGTCATTTGCTCAGGTGAGTATTGATCTCAGAGACCATTCCCACAGGAGGAATCTGGCTCCTAACAATGCAGTCAGTAGGGGTTTGAGGCTTCCATTGGCCACTGGGGCAAGGTTCTTCCCAGGATCTCAGCTTATCCCAATCATCCTGATTCTGAGCAATTCTGAATAATCTCTGGACCATCTTTCCCCTGGTCCTGTACCTTGTCTTTCAGCCCCCGCCCCATAGTCATCACCTTCTTGATGGCTCTAGCAACAGAACAAGCCTGAGTCATTAATCTTACATACGCAGAGATATTAGCCAGACTGTGAGTCTTTAAGGGCTTGGAGGAAGTCATTTAGTAAAAGAGAAGTGTGTGTGTGTGTGTGTGTGTGTGTGTGTGTGTGTGTGTGTGTGTAGCAAACATCCTGGTCTCAACACAGTCCTAGGCACCTGGGACCCAATCAGGCTCAAATTACAAACCCCAGTCTTTTCTTCCCATGGTAAGACCATTTTGCCAAGCAGACCTTCTCTTTCCCTCTATCCTGCCCTCCACATGTGGAGGAAGGAGTTGTGTTTGCACTACTCTTTGGAATGGCTTCACAATTAGCAAGATTCAGTACCAATATGTCAGGACACAACTAACCCTGCCCATTCCTCAGCCTTTGCCTCACTTGGCCTCATTTCCTCCAACTTG